AGACAATATAAATAAATGAAAAGATATCCTGTGCTCATGCATTGGAAGTGATGATATAGTTAAGATGCTAATGCTATGCAAAGAAACCTACAGACTGTATGCAACCCCATCACATCTTGAATATGCTTTTTGCAGAAATAGAAAAATCTAAAATAAAATTCATATGGAACCTCAAGGGACTAGGGATAGCCAAGACAATCTTGAAATGCAAGAGCAAAGTTGAGAGAACTTACATTTTCTGATTTTAAAACTTACTCAAAAGTTACAATAATCAAAAACACAGTGCTACAGGCATAACCACAGGTAGACCAGTTGAGTAGAATACAGAGCCCACAAATAAACCTGTGCATATATTGATTGTATGAAAGGGTGCTCAGAACATTTAATGGGGAAAGGGCAATCTTTTCAACAAATGGTTCTTGGAAAGCTGGATATCTACAAAGAAAAGAATGAAGGTGGAGCCTTATCTTACATCATATGCAAAAATGAAATCAAAGTCGATCAAAGTGCAAAAACTATAAAACTCATACAAAAAAGCACAGAGGACAAGCTCATGATTTTGGATCTGACTACGATTTTTTGAGTGTGTTACCAAAAGCAAAGGCAATGAAGAAAAAATAGGTAAACTGGATGGACTTCAGCAAAATTAAAAACTTTTATCAATGGTAATTATCAACAGAGTAAAAAGGCAACCCATAGAATAGAGAGAAATATCTGCAAATAATATATCTGATAAGGGATTAACATCTTAAACACATAATGAACTCCTAAAACTTAGTGATAGGAAAAACCCAAATCAAAACCGTGCAAAAGACTTGAAGAGACATGTCTCCAAAGAAGATATACAAAACATACAAAACACCAATAAGTACATAAAAATATGATCACTAATTATTTGGAAATGAAAATAAAAACCACAATGAGAGACTATTTCATATACATTACGATGACTAGTATAAGAAAAAAACAACAAACCCAAGTATTGGTAAAGAGGTGGAGAAATTGGAACCCTCCTGCCTCACTGGTGGGAATGTGAAATGGTGGTTCAGCTTATCTGAAAATGAGTGCTATACATTTTGATCAATAAGAAGTGCCAGAAAACAGAAATTTAGACACCTGTGTGATGTATGTGTAAAGACTCAATGGAAACATACATTTGATGTCATACCCCCTTGTCTGGAAATGAATATGAGATGGAGTTAAATTAAAAAATGTTCTTTTCCATTATTCCATATCATTGCTATTTAATATCAAAGAAATAAAATCTAAACAAGAAAGACAAAAAAGACCCCCATTTGTACCTTTAATACATTTTGGGATCTCAGGCTCCCAAGTATTGTTGACTTCACAGACACTAGTGCTGCTGCCTTCAAGGTGAAATCCCTCATTGCATTGGAATGTAACCTCTGATCTGTACTCAAATTTTTTTCTTGTTGACACCACTCTCCCATTCTCCAGTGCTGGATATTCACATTTGACCACTGAAAAGTGAAAAAATTCCAGAATTAATAGAAAGCTGGTTTAACAGGGGAAAGAAAAAACTAGTGAAAATTAGTAATTTCCCGTGGGAACAAAGAGACAAGAAATGGAAGGCAGAATGTTAATTAAAAACAATAACAACAACAATTTTATTTGTGCATTTTAATTCCAGGAAAACAGATACAGAGACATCTAATAACCTTTTCACACCCAGAACAGACCTTCATTACTATACATTATTGGTTTCCTAAAAGCTTCCCATTACTGACAAGTTTTGAGAAAGTCTGACTACTCTATACAATTTTGAGGTAAGTACAAAAGCAACTTTGGATGTTCTTTTAGCTCTAGGAATTTTTTTTTTTTTTTTTTTTAATTTCAGGCTGACACTGACTTAGTATCCTGATCTTCTAGAAAGGCAGGAAAGGCTCTTGTATTAAGGTAATGCTTGAGCTCAAAGGTAAAAAGTTGAAAAGAAGGTAGTCATGCAAACATATGCAGAGAGAAAGTTATCAGGTGTCAACAACATGCAAGAACTGGGATGTGCGAGAAATAGAAAGGCCAGTGAACTTAAGGTCGTGTTTTCCAAATATTTTGGACTGAAACTCAGAGATCAAACCCCACATTTTATATTGAAATCTCACAGCTCTGAGATAAAGGTAAAACTTCATAATTAGCCTTCATACCCATGGACTCAGGTAGTCCCCATTCTGTTCTACTTCTTACAAAGTAAAGTGCGGGGCAGGACCCTCTGGATTGATTCCAGGATCCAGTAATGGGTTTCACAGAAATTGGAAAAAACAAACAAACAAACAAAAAAACAACACTGGGCTGGGCAGTACATACAAGAAAACACCTTCTGAGATTAAATCTGAGGGATCATAGGGTCCATAAGGCTCTGCTTTTAAACCAGAAGAGTGCACTTCCTCCTCGCCTGGGGACCTGAATCAGGATCTTTGCCCTTCATCCTGATGAAGAACTTCCTTTAGCAATTCTGGTAGTGCAGGCAGGGTGGTGTCAATCCTTTTAGCTTTTATCTCAAAACCTTTATTTTTAATTCTCACCTGAGGACATGCTATTATTATTATTTTAAAAAAATTTAGAGAAGAAGGGAGAGAATGATGCATTGATGTAATAGAGCAACAGAGATCGGATGCTTGCATATACACCTCAACAGGTGATCAAACCCACAACCTGTGTATGTGCCCTGACCAGAAATCAAACCCATCACTGTTTGGTGAATATGACAATGCTCAAACCAACTGAATCATACTGGTCAGGTCTTCAAATCTTTTTTTTAATTTTTTTTAATTTTAACTTCATTTTTAATAAATTTCTACTGACCCTTCTCCCAGGGTCACTGAATTGCCCTTGAACTGTAACCTCCTAGTTCATAGATGGATACTCAACCATTAAGCCATGCTGCCCTGCAGGGTATTTAATGATGTTCTCTTTTTTATTCCTGATATTGATAATTTGTGCCTTCTACTTTTTCTGTCACACAGGCTATAGGTTTATCCATATTATTGATCTTCCCCAAGAACCAGGTGATTGTTTCAATGATTCTCTCTACATGTTTTTTCAATTTTATTGATTTCTATCATTATTTCTTTCCGCTTTCTTGTTCTGTATTCTACTTGTTTTTCCTTTTTAGTTCCTTAAAGTGAAAGCCTATATTCTTGAGCTGAAACTTTTCACTTGTCCTAATGTATGTATTTCATGGTATGAATATTCTTCTAAACAGTGTTTTTGCTCTATTCCACAAATTTTGATACTTCAATATATTGTGTATTCATTTCTACTCAATTTAAAACATGTTCTAATTTCCCTTGTGAATCCTCCTTTTATTCATGGGTTAGATAGAGGTGTCTTCATAATTTTTAAATATTTGGGGATTTTATAAACATATTTGTTTTGATTTCTACATTCATTCCATTGTAAAGATACTGTATCATAAATAATTTCAATTTTTGAAATTAAAAAAGTAAATATATTGTCTAGAACCATGGTCAGCAAACTGGCTCTCGAGCTACTTGTGGCTCTTTGGCCCCTTGAGTATGGCTCTTCCACAAAATAAAACGGCCTGGGCGAGTCTATTTTGAAAAAGTGGCGTTAGAAGAAATTTATGTTTTAAAAATTTGGCTCTCAAAAGAAATTTCAATCGTTGTACTGTTGATATTTGGCTCTGTTGACTAATGAGTTTGCCGAACACTGGTCTAGAACATGGTGCTAGAATTATTACATATGCACTAGAAAAGAGAACATATTTTCCTGTTTCAGTGATTCCTTTTGTTCAAGAGTCAAATACTTTCCAGTATGTTCAACTTTTGGTCATGCTTGAATGCCTTAGGCATTTTTTTTAAGTATAGGTAAACCTCTGAGTAATTTCAGGCTACAACAATAAATGAGTATTGAAGTAAAGAAGGTTACAGTTGTTTTGCTGGGTTATGATATTCAATTTGCAAAAAAAAAACAAAACAATGCAATATGTGTGAAGGGCAATAAAACAAGCACAATTAAACAATGTATGCCTGCATGCTTTGCCTAGACTTTATTAATCTGATTGATGAGAAGGTCAATCCCTTACAATTTATTCTAGCATTTTGGCTAGCCAGAACTGTCAAACTTCTTGTATTATGAATAAAACTTCATTAAAGCCAGTGTATGTTTTTTGATGCTTTCTAGCCCCCAAAAATTTAATTCATGCATATACATAGTAATTAACAATGTATAAACAGCAATGTCAAGAATGTATGTGGTGAATAGTGGGAAACTCTGCCAGTAGAATTATTTTTATTCTATTTCACTCATAAATTAGATTAGAAACAAATATGCATGTTTGGAGGAACAAGCATACATGACTGTATTTATTTATTTTTTTTACTTGGTGGCCAAAGTATTCAAAAGTTGGTAAAAGTTTCCACACTGTTTTTGTTTTTAAATGGGAGGGAAAGAAATAAAAATGTTATTACCTTTACACTCAGGAGATTCTGAGCTCCATTGGTTAAGCCCAGAACAAACAAGCGTGCTCTCTCCAACAAGTGTATATTCATCTAGTCCTATTGAAGGATTGCAATCATAAGTAACTTCTTCTTTATATTCAAATCTATCCTTTTGGTTTTTGATGAATCTTCCATTTGGTATTTGTTTAGGTGATTTACACCAAATCTCTTAAAAAGAGAAAATAAAAAAGGACAGGAAAGGCAATAGAAAAAGAAAAAGATTAAGACAGCATTAGTCGTGTCCTATGAATTGCCTTCCATAGTTCATTATCATATGATTTTTACATCTAGCTGAAAATTCAATATACATTTAAAACAAAGTTTATAGAAAGAAATGTATTATCCCAACTTAAACCATTAGTAGAAAAATGAAATTCTAGAATAAAACCTATTTTCTTAAATACCCATAGAAGCTATCTGTATGAAATACTTGTGTGTATCTGTAAGGCCATGCTAAGTTTTTTCTAATCATAAGAGATGCTGACGATTTAATGAGAAAATATGATTTAGGAAAACTCAGTGCTAGTTGAGAAATGCTACATCCATTCCTGAATCAGTGGTTCTCAGGTATACCACGATTTTGTCTTTTCTCATGTCATCCTTTATGTGAAATTTTCCAATGGCTTCAAACTTTCTGATAATGCCACAGAATGAATCTGGAGATCTTCCTTTAAGCCAGATACTGAAGAGATTAGAAAAAATGTAAAGGAATGACACTTTTCCCTTTGTTTTGGAAATGTTTGATGTTACAAAAAAAATATGTTGCATTTGTTAACATGCATTGAGTTTATTGTTCTTAAAAATGAATTAAAATGAATAATTATTTAAAAATCTCTGTTTTAATTCCAATATAAGGAATATCAATATCACTAACCCACTTGCAGAAAAGCTCTATGGAGTCTTGGTTAATTATAAAGTATACAGGGGTCCCCAGGCCAAAAAGTTTGAGAACGGCTGCTGTAAATTCTAAAGAGAGAATGTACTTACTGTAACAACTTGGTGGATCACCACTCCATACCACATCATTTCCAGAGAGTTGACATGTTAGAATTTCTATTCCATCTAAATAATAACTAAATGAGAAAAGAAATGGCTGTTGTTTCTTTATCAGTTAACAAGAACACATACTAATAAAGAAGTTTTTGTATGGTTGTTTTTCTGCACTACAGTACCTTGAAAGAGAAGTTTCTGAAGTGACAGGTATTGAATGTGTTAACTGAATCTGCAATGTAATGAAATGGAGAGATTCTTCATATGAACACACATTGGCTTATAGCCAAGTGTCTAAATAAACCTGTCACGCTGGACAGTCTGGTGATTGCTACTTCTGGCAGGCACCTCGCACTGTCACACCTATGTCCTTGCTCATGCCATTCTGCTCTGTCAGGGCAACTATTGAGCAGAGAGATCTGGCCCAAGAGCTGACATGACTGCATTTGAGTCCCAGCTCCAAGGCTGACTTGCTTGTTGAGCTTGGACAAATTGTTTAATGTTTCCCTTTATTTTTTATTTTTTTTATAACTTTTAATTGTTGTTAACCCGCACCTGATGATTTCTTTTCAGTTAATTTTTAGGGTCAGTTGAAGGCAGGGGGAGACACAGAGAGAGAGAAACATGGATGTGAAAGAGATGCATTTATATATGTGCCCTTGCTCAGAATAAAACTTGGGACCCTTCAGTTCACAGTTTGGTGCCCTAACCTCTGAGTCAAAATGGTTGGGGCTGGTTCTCTTTCTTAAATCCTCCATGTGTGGAAAGGTATATATGTCATGGGATGGTTTTGAGTAGCAGGTGAATTGGCATCTGGAACATAGTGAGAGCTACGCAAGTTTTTGACGTTCTGAATACTCTTCAGATTAGGGTATAGTCCTAGGTGTAGCTCAGGGAGCCCCCCTCCTCCATGAAATCTCTGATGATTGAAATTCATAGAACTCTCTCCTTCTGCACTCTCCTTATAATGATCATGAACAAGTCTATTTCTGTGGTATTTGTTGTTTATTATTTTCCTTGGACACCTTTGTATATATTGTGCTTCTCAATGAGGCTAACACTTCTTTGAGAATATCTATGTCAGATGTTTTCAACCTTTTTCATCTCATGGCACACAAAAACTAATTACTAAAATTCTGTGGCACTCCAAAAAATATACTTTTGCCCATCTGACAAGAAAAAGACGTAAATTTTGATTCTTTCACACTGGACGGCTATTGTTGTGTTGGCTCTTGCCATTAAAAAATACATATATATAAATTATATATATATATATATATATATATATATATATATACACACACATATATATAATTTATTTATTAATTTCAGAGAGGAAGGGAGAGGGAGAGATAGTAACACCAATGATGATAGAAAATCATTGATTGGCTTCTGCCTGCACGCCCCACACTGGGGATTGAGCCAGCAACTCAGGCATATGCCCTGACTGGGAATTGAACTGTGATCTCCATGTTCATAGGTTGTCGCTCAACCACTGAGCCATGCTATCTAGGATTGCCATTTTTTTATTTGACAATCTTAGAGAAAAGCAGTCAGTGACCCAACTAAATAGCAGATATCTCATCAGGAACCTGGGGCCAGAAGATGTTGAACTAATAGACTCAAAATGATAGAGGGGAAAAAAAGTTCAATCAAAAATCCTTTCTATAGCAAAACTGTGCTTTTATAGTGAGGGAACTATTAAGACTTTCCAAAAATAAAAGTTAAGAGAAGTTGCTACCACTATACCTAATATGCAAAGAATGCTTAGGAGTGCCCTAAAAGGTGAAATAAAAGGACACTAGAGAGTAATGTTACCTGGGCAGTCAGTCCTTGCGCTGCGGAGTCTCCCCCATTGGCTAAGATAGTACTGGGGTTGATTCTTACACTTGGGGCACCACAAGTTCTAAAGATGAATGGACAGGACCCAAGTGTGCCAAAATCTAGCAAGGTAAAAATTGCATAGAAAAAAATTCCTATCCTCCCTATCAATATAAAATCTGGGGGCTTGGACAGGAAGCGGGGAAGGCCTTTGAGCTGGGAATTCCAGGTCCTGGGCACCTGAGTAAAACCTCTTTCCTTTTGTAGCGGACCTGCCTTACAAGTTTGGGTTTCCTTGCAGCAGGCAACCAAACCTATGTTTTTTGGTTACATCAGTCATGCCTTAAGGATCAACATCTCACTGTGGGTATATTCATGGGCAATTATTAAATCTGGCATTATTATAACAATGGTTTGTAAATGTATTTTTTATGTTCTATGTGATTTAAGAAACTAATCTTACAATGAAAATAAATGGTATAAGAGCTATTATTTCATTTATTATTTGGATGATAGTATGATATTAACAACCCAAAAGGATGGGGATGGAGCTGATAAGGATCAATTATTGTAATATATTGAATTTAAGTTGCTATAAATTCAAATAATAATGTTATATGTCTAGGATTTTAAATGTAATCATCTGGGAACTGGAAACAAAATCATTATAGAATATACACAACAGAAAAATGAATAAGGGATTACATCATTTCATTATAAGACTTAACCAGCAAATGAAAAGAGAACTGCACAAAAAAAAAAGCTTTAAAAAACAAAGAGCTTTCTCCTTGTCTATAATTATTTAAAATTTTTTAAATATATACATGTTATTTTATTTTGGAGAGAGGGGAAGAGAGAAGGAGAGAAACATCAATGTGAGAGAGAAACATCAGCTGCATCCTGTGTGCCCCTCACTGGAGATCAAGCCTGAAACATAGGCATGTGCCCTGACAGGGAATGGAAATGTGTCCTCCTGGTTCACAGTTTGACATTTAATCACTAAGCAATGCTGGTCAGGCAATAATTACTTTAAATTTAAATGGATTAAATGTGACAATATGTAAATATGGACAGAATGGATAAAAACAAAAGATCCACCTATATGCTATCTACAGGAGACTCACTTGGGATTCAAAGAGATGAACAAGGACAAAGTGAAAGGATGGAAAAAGATTTTCCACGCACATTGTCACCAAAAGAGGGTAGAATCACTATATTAGTTCAGGCAAAATAGACTGAATCAGAAAAGTTTATAAGAGATAAGCACCTTATATTTTAATCAGTTTCACATACTGCGAGAAGATATAATAATTATGAACATTAATGCACCAAATAAGAGACTTTCAAAATACATGAAGCAGAAGCTGGCACAACTGTAGAGAGAAATACACATTTCTATAAAACAGGCATTTCTCCATTAATAGTTGGAAACTTTAATATCCCACTCACAATGGTAGATAGCACAACTAGACTGAAATCAGACTGAAAATAGAGGATTCAACAACACTTCAACAACTAGATCTCTCAGACACAGAGCACCATAGAACAGAATTCAAATTCCCCTCAAATGCACACAGGACATACTCCGGGATAGACCGTACTTGGAGCCACAAATTAATATTAACTAATCAATAGGTTTTAAAAATATATACATCATGCAGTGTCTCTTCTCTGACCACAAAGTGGGTATAGTTGCGAAACAAAAATCTTCACAGACAAAAGGAACAGGCTTACTGACTAGCCATATGCTCACCAGAAAAAAGGACCAGGTCTGGGACATGCAGTCTGAACCACCAGCAGCAGGGACTGATGAAGGCAAGCATTCCACGCCCTCCTGGTTTAATGGGTTCTCTTACAGCTTTGAGGAGGAAGAGGTAAGTTAATTTGAAGGAAGTTATATGGGCTACAGAAGGGGGGGCAGAAGAAGGGTAAGTGGGGCTAGTTCTGGGATAGGTGCATAGATGGTAGGAAGAAGTGTTTGCTGCTTTTGAATGGTTTATTGGCAGCAATCGGAAAGGTTGCTGTGTAAGTAGGACGCAGTGAAATCTGGTGGTCAGCTAGCCCTTGCTGAATAGGAGCCATAAGAGCTCTTCTATTCACAGGATTTTAAAGTAGCTCAGGAAGTTCATTCAAAGTTTCAACAAACATTTCATTAGTTCTTGCCATTTCTTCTGTTACCTGATCAATTTCCCGTCTCTCTTTCCACCCTTTGGCCTATTATAGTTTAATTTAGGACCATGTCACCATAGTTACTACATTTAAAAAATATATATATATATTATTGATTTTTTATAGAGAGGAAGAGAGAGAGATAGAGAATTAGAAACATTGATGAGAGAGAGAATCATCAATCAGCTGCCTCTTGCACCCCTCCCTCCCACTGGGGATATGCTCTCAACCAAGGTACACGCCCTTGACCGGAATCGAACCTGGGACCTTTCAGTCCACAGGCCAACGCTCTACCCACTGAGCAAAACTGGTTTCGGCAGTTACTACATTTTTAATGACTAACATAGACTTATCATTACTTACTAGAGGCCTGGTGCATGAAATTTCATGCCCTAGAATAGGGGTGTCGAACTCAATCAGAGAAGGGGCCAAAATCTAAAATCCAGCCTAAATCGCGGGCCAAATGGTTTACTGAACAGTCATAAACTGTCATTGTGATGGAAACGCAGCGGAGTGCAGTGATGACAGCGCGGTGCGGGCCACATTGCAAGGCCTGGCGGGAGGGATTTGGCCCGCGGGCCTTGTGTTTGACACACGTGCCCTAGAAGGTGTCCCTCAGCCTAGCCTGTGCCCTCTCACAGTCCGGGATGCCTCACTCCTTAACTGCAGCGGAGGCAGGAGAGGCTTCCACCGCGAGCCATCAGCTGGCTTCTGGCTGAGCAGTGCTCCCCCTGTGGGAGTGCTCTGACTACCAGTAGGCAGCTCCTGCATTGAGCATCTTCCCCATGGTGGTCAGTGCGCATCATAGCGACCTATCACTCCTTTGTTTGGTCGATTTACATATTAGGATTTTCTTATATAAGTTAGTATGACACAATTTTGTTTCCTGCAAGTTAAATTTCTATTTATTACACATCTTTTCAGTCTCCATAAAAAGCCCAAGGGTTGGTTGGCTGTAAGTACAACTTGTTCCTCAGACAGCAAGATGAAATCAACAGAATGGAAATGCTTGAGAAGAAGAGAACCAGACCAAAAATGGGACCAGCAACATTGACCTTCTTCCTCCAAGAAGCAGCTTACTTACCCCTCATTACAAACATACTGAGCTTGTGTACCAAACTCATGACTCCCATTTACATAGATTATTTCTCCATTTAGTAGTTCTTCTAGCTGTGTACATGACTTTTCTAAAAGAAAACACATTTGTTTAAACCAATTTCAAAACAGATTTGAATCAAAATAAAAATTCTACAACAGGCTATTAAGTTGGTGGAAATCTTCTTATTATTATTTATTGTTATTACATTTATCGGGGTGACATTGGTTAATGAGCATACATAGGTTTCAAACGTACATTTCTATGATGCATGATCTGTATATTGTGTTGTGTGCCCACCATCCAAACGGTCACATAAATTTAGTCCCCTTTAGTAACTGCTGTGGGAAGCCACCATTGTCTTCACTATCAGAGATTTGTAAAGAAGGAATCTGGAATACTGGTGACCCTTAAGCCCCTGGCAAGGGCCAGAGCTGTGCACCGATTGTTTAGTTCAGACAATGGGGGCTCAAGCTATTTCTTGACCAAATAGTTGCACAGTAAATCTTTCTAATATTTATTGACCTTTAAGATAGTCTGTCTGTTACCGCAATTACCTACCTAAGAGCTAGATTGTGTGTCCAAAATTGAATAAAAGGCTGGCGAGGCCTGGGCACCAGTAGAAGTCCTTTCTCTTACATTGGGCTTGCCCGCCTGGCCCCAAATATTTCCAAATTATTATTTCTTGTCTCGTTTCCTTCATTTGCGTGCGGACCCTTCTCCAGATCCCAAACCCTGAACCACGTGGGATGTGGGTTACCGCATACTACTGTCACCAGCATCCCGTCTCCCTTCTGGTGACCACCAAACTGTGGTCTGTGTCTATGAGTTTCAGTTTTATATCTCACATGAGTGAAACCATACAGTTTTTTTTTTAGTTTTTTTCTGACTGACTTATTTCGCTTAGCATAATATTCTCGAGGTCCATCCATGTTGCTGCTGATGGCCAAACTTAAGATTCTCATTTACGCAGAGCAGTGGTTGGCAAATTGCGGCTTGCGAGCCACATGTGGCTCTTTGGCCCCTTGAGTGTGGCTCTTCCATAAAATACCACGTGTGGGCCCACACATACAGTGCGATTGAAACTTTGTGGCCTATGCGCAGAAGTTGGTTTTTGGCTCTCAAAAGAAATTTCAATCTTTGTCTTGTGGATATTTGGCTCTGTGGACTAATGAGTTTGCTGACCACTGACGCAGAGCATTGATGGCTAAATAAAAAATTTCCAGGCGAGTTTTAAGACCTGAAAAAATACACAGCTACCTAAAACGTACATCCACATGAGAAAACCATCCTGGTAAAAGTGGAATATGCAGTCTACATTGGGTAAAAGTCTCTAGAGCTATAAAACTTAAAATGTTGTGTACTTACTTCTACAAGCCTCCCGGAGAGATGTCCATGTGCCATCAGGCTGACACTCAGTGGTGGTAAAAGCAGGAAAATGATGCTTGTATCCTGGGCGACATTCATATTCTACCTTTTCCCCCGGATGATAAGGGGGTTCGGGATCACCCTTGGGTTTCATAGATTGGAACGTTGGCGGGTCATCACAGGTATCTGGACATAACAAAATAAGAACATGAACATAAAGTGTTCTCTCTTTTTCACCAGTCACAGACTATGGCCTTCCAGAACAAACAGAGGTCTTTAGCAAGATTTTATTTTATTTTTAAATACTATATTTTATTGATTTTTTTTACAGAGAGGAAGAGAGAGAAGGTTAGAGAGTCAGAAACATGGATGAGAGAGAATCATCCATCAGCTGCCTCTTGCACACCCCCTACTGGGGATGTGCCCGCAACCAAGGTACATGCCCCTGACCGGAATCGAACCTGGGACCCTTGAGTCCACAGGCCGATGCTCTATCCACTGAGCCAAACCGGTTTCGGCCTTGGCAAGATTTTAAGTGGTTGTGCCAGGCTTCTATCAGATGAGGTGTGGTTGTTTTCAATAGTAGCTTTTGAATTTCCCCCCCCCCTTTTTTTGGGGGGGGGGGGCATAACCTGAATATTCTTTCAACAGTAAATTGGAGAGACAGCAGAGGCATTTTTGGTTTAAAATATATTTATAGATATGCATCCTTCCCATTTTTTTTTTTCTGAGTTCATTTCACACTCACCTCTCCCCCTAAGAAGGCTTTATAGCCCTGGATCAAATTACTCTTACACAGTTTGAAACACAAACTGATGACAGCTTGTTACCTCAGGCTCAGTCTCCTTTCAGGAGGCAAAGTTCCTAGAGGTCAGGATCACATGCCTTCTTTTCTTACTATACTCTGTACCCCTTGCGTGCTCAAGAGATGCTATAGTAGGTGCTGACTCTTAAATAAGCATTGTGGATTTCATAGGTCAAAATACTTATGGACTAAACTATTTTAAAATATAAGACTTCATTTTCATATGTTTCACATTAATAAGTGAATAAAAGGTTAATTAAATGTTAAAATTTATAACTTTAACACTATTTTAAATATAATGCATTCTTTCTTCACTAATCAATGGATCATGCTTGGCCACCAAAGTTCTGAGGTAGCTATTGAAGCTGTGTTACTGTATTGCTATGCTGTTAGAATTTTTTCTTTCTGGATTTTTTTGGTAGTTTTTTCTTTCTTTCTAGGATAGTATCATTCCTGCTTCTGACATCCCTCTTCCTTTAAATTGTCTGTGGGCTTGAAAACCTAACAAACCTGATGGAATTAGTATGTAAGATAATGTGATGGAAACACATCAAGTCCTGAAGGGCTAACAGCATGCAGAGGTCCCTCCTGTAAGAGTAAGGATCTAAGAAAGGAGCTAGATCTATGCTGATCCCTGAGAAATCTCTTTTCTTATGCCCTGGATTGATGTTAAACTTAAAAAAAATATATATATATATAATGTTTATTATATATATTAAATACTTATATATATTATAATGTATATAAGTAAATAAGTAAATTAATTACTTATAAGTAAATATGTAAGTAAATATGTATATTTACTTCATATTCTACCTTTCCCCCCGGATGATAAGGGGGTTCAGGATCACCCTTGGGTTTCATAGATTGGAACGTTGGTGGAACATAAATTACTTAAAGTAAATTAAATACTTATATATATTATATATATTAAATACTTATATATATTAAATATATATATTTACTTCTATCAAATAACAAAGAATATATGACTTATATGACTCTTAAATGGATTGGGTGAATACTGGTTAAAAACATTATGTAAATTTCAGGTGCACAATGTTGTAATAGGACATCTGTATACTCTATTGTAAAGTTTAGTCTCCTTCCTTCACCTCCTTTTAACCTCTTGCTCACTACCATGTTACTATTTGTGAATTGTTTTATTTGTTTCTTTGCTTTTTTCATTTGTTGCTTAAAAAAACAACAGCTGTTAGCTTCTGCTGAATATTTTAGTTCATTTTTCTGGAACTTACTAGTTATCATGTCCTTTTCTGGCTGACTTATTTCCTTAGCATAATCCTCGCAAGATCCATCCATGTTGTTGCAAATGGCAGTATTTAATATTTTTTTTATAAATGAGTTTTATTCCACTGTATATATGTACCTCTCCCTCTATATCCAATCATTTGTTGAAGGACACTTAGTTTCCAAGTCTTAACTATTGTAAGTAATGCTGCAATGAACATACTGTTCTATATGTTTTTTAAATATATATTTTTATTGATTTCAGAGAGGGAGAGAGAAATAGAAACATCCATGATGAGAGAGAATCATGGATCAGCTGCCTCCTGCAAGTCCTCCACTGGTATCGAGCCCCCAACATAGGCATGTGCTCTTAGCCGGACTCGAACCTGGGACCCTTCAGTACACTAGCTAATGCTCTATCCACTCAGCCAAACCAGCTAGAGATCCATATATCTTTTATAAAATATATTTTTATTAATTCCAGAGAGGAAGAGAGTGAGAGAGAGATAAAAACATCAATGATGAGGGAGAAACATTGATCAGCTGCCTCCTGCACACTAGGGGTACTGGGGATTGAGCCTGAAACCTGGGCGTGTGGCCTTGGCTAACATCGAACCTGGGACAATTTAGTCTGCAGGCAGATGCAAGTGCAGAAGCCCCAAAGTGGCAGAGTGTGGCCTCTGAGCAGAAGAGCCTTCCCTCCCAGCAGTCACTTGTTAAAGGCTCTCAGAGAGTCAGGCTCCTTCCTCCAGGGCCCCTGATTGGGGTTGTCACACCAGCACTGTGGTTTGGTTACTGTCCGCCAGTCCCAGTAAATGTCAGTAAATCTTTATTGACTGCCTACTGTGCACCTGGCACTGGGGGTCTAACAGGGAGCAAAACATGTTTATGTTCATGTGTGTTTCCGGGCAAACAGACCAAGAGTGGAATAAGCATCATGAAAGTAGGAGTGGCTTGTTATTGGTCACCAGTGTGTCCCCAGAACTATTATAGCACAGGGCCTGGCACATGCAAGGCAGATCTTTATTGAATGAATTATCCTAAGGAAAGAATGCAGCATACAAACTGTCTATGTAATAAGATCCTAAAAGTCACTTGGGCATAGAAACACACATGCATACAATGACAGTTAGAAATGCATCAAAGTATAAAATGGTTGTCCTTTTATTGTATATGTTTTATAGAATAAGTATTTTATTCTGCATTATATATTGCATTCAGTGAAACATGAATCAAACTTAGTGGATGGCCTCCAACTATAGGGGAAAAGCCAATTGATGTTATTGTTGATCATTTATTATGATTAATTTATCACTAGGTTTTGTTACCAGTATTTTCTTGGTTGCTTCTAACTTCCCCTCAAATGGGCCCCAACCTAATGAACAAAAGAAAACACAATGCCCAAAGTACATTTAGGAATAACGTAGGATATTATCTATATTGCATGGGAATTAGAACATGATGCCATGGTAAAAAAAAAAAAAGCAACAGCCTGCAAACCAATACCTATATTAATTGGGGATAACAAGCAGCCTGATACCTTTTTGTACAAAAAGCACTGCGTGTCCTTCCCAGTCCTTCTAAATCCCAGGCCCTGCTGCTAGCTCTCACTAACACGCGCTCCCCAAACCCATACAAAGCAAGCAGTGAGCTTCCTTGCCCCACACCCTGCCCCTCTGGCCTGGATCCTTCTGGAAAGCACACACCTGTTCCCCCTGGCCTGGGAGCCCCCAGCCCAACCCAGTGGGCACAGCGCCCACTCACCAAGGCTTCACTGAGCCCAGGAGCACAGGGCAAAGCCTGACCACGGGCCCAGCACTCCCCCAAGCAACCTCCCCACACACAGCTGGGCCTTGGAGAGCAAGCCCTCACCTTCAGCACCTGGTCAGGGCTTCCCCTCTTGTTTTTTAAATTATTAACAGTATTATTAGTTGTTCCTCATTCCCCTGCCCTCCTGCCCCATCCATCCTGTCCCCCACCCCCTACCCCACTCCAGGCATTCCTGTGCCCATAAATTATGCACATATGCATATATGTTCTTTGTTAATCTCTGAGCATCTCGATTAGCTCAGTCCTCAAACACCTGCAAGCTTTTGCTAGGGACACAGCTTGGCTCCAGACAAACACTGGCTGCACCCAGCGCTTGGCAAGGCTCAGTACCTTTCACCTTAACCACCCTCACCGCGGGCCCTATGGAGTCCCCTCCCTCCTGAATCCCCCACAGAACAACCCAGAGAATCTGTGACTAAGGCTTCTACCCTGAACCCGCATCACCTGGGTCCACCAAGCCCTGAGCCCCTAACCCCGACACCAAGCAAACTTCCCTTCGCCCTCCTCTCTGCTGGGCCAGCTCCCCTCCCGCTCTAGTTTCTCTCCAGAGCTGACACCCTGGCCCTTCCCCTACCTGAGCATGTGGGTAGCAGGAACTCTAGGGCCAGCAAAAGCACCCCAAGGAAGCCCCGCGAAAAGGGACTCTCCAGGCGGCTGAAGGATGCTGTCATTGTCTGGACATCAGCGGGGAACCCGAGGGACAGTGCGTATCTGTAGTTTTGAGGGAGGCCAGGAAGCACCACAATCCCTGGACTCAAAAAGTGTCAAGGGCATGGCCGTTAGTGGGCGTGGACTGGGTCATTACGTCACGCTGGGGCGGGGCCAATGGCATGCTCAGAGGCGGGGCATAGGCCCCAGGGCCCTGGGTTAGCTGAGGAGGGAATGGGGCGTGGCCTGGCCAAAGTCTAATCCAATTGGGTCCACGGGCAGCTCCAGCTGCAGGGTGCAAGGCCAAGGTTTCCTGGAAATGGTGGGTCCCTGCCTGGTCCTTAAACAGGCAGCTAGCACCCTACTCAGGAAGGATAGAAAGGAAACGAGAGCTGGCCCAGTCATCCTTGCGTGTTTCCAGGAGGCCTGGATGGAAGACTAAAGCTAATGGACCTGAAAATGAAAACGCAGAGCCCAGGCCGCAGGTTGCCTAGATGCCAGCACCCCTCCGGTTCCACTTTTGTCCTGAGGCCTCCAGATCTAGTCTCAGAAAACTCCTTTTCTGGAGATATCAAAAGGACCCGACCCTGAGCCCCCAGTGGGAAATGGACTCACCACTTCCGCTAGTGGACACCCACTTCCACAGATAACAGAG